AAGATAATGCCAAGAATAACTTTGATGAATGCAACATTTCCTCTGTTGCTGAAAAGCTGGGTTTAAGGTCCTTCTCACTGTTTTTGCTAACATCCTGTATCTAAAAGTACATTTTAATTCCCAATGCACAGGTGATTTAACACCAGGCCTGCCGCTGGACAATGAATAAGGCATGATTCACACCATGCTTTCCATGGCTGTTGGTTCAAAGACGTTCTTATGGGGGAACAGGTACAACAGGGAGAAGGTAGTGGAAGACTCATGTTCTTTGCTTACATGTGTCAAGGTTTTAATCTTTTTCAGACAGTGAAAAGGTACCCTTCCCTCCCCAAAGGCTAAGCACCGACTACTATAAGTTCTTCCTACAAGGGAAAAGACAGCATCACACACATTCTCAGAGCATGACTGCTGGCACAGGCTTCTCTGAGGACTTAGGCACCAGGACTGATTTCTAGATCACAGTGAGAAATAAAACACAAGACAGACACTGAGGCATTCAAGCTGGGGCAGCCCCAGAGGGACAGCAAAGTACAACTGGAGGTATTTAAAGACACTCCGCAACTAACTAAGAAGGTGCCTGTCCTATTCAAGGTTGCTCAGGCAGCAGCTGAACAGGGCATTTAAAGAAGAGGGTAGCGGTGAAGGAAGAAAAAACTAAATCATAATTTTGCACAATAACCAGCAAGGCTGCCCTGCTAAATGAGGGTTCACTCCTATTTTGTTTTGCATGCAAGCTGCTGCTCTCCAGGGCGCTTCAGCTAACCTTGCCCTGCCAGCTTCAGTGTGTAGAACGATTAGTCCAGCCTACCCCAGTCCCACCTTCCCAGAACATAAGCTGGCCTCAGATTTTTGCAGACAAACGCTGCACCCATATTTTGGATTCCCTAAGTTCTTCTTGCAGCTTTAAAGAATCTAGTTTGTTCGGGGGGGCTTCCTACCCAGATACCCACACCCTGCTTCAAGAGGTACGCCTTTTAATAATGGGGGAAAATGGAAAGTATCTTTATACATAGGGATGTGAGGCTTACTATAAAAGTAAGAACAGCTATGACAATTAGAGACAGGCTCTCCAAAATAGCTTCACAAATATCTATTCTGTTGTTGTTTGGATTTTTTTCTCTATTTTTATTGAAACTTTGTACAGAAGTTTTAAACATTTCCATACAATACTTTTAGACAGGACAAAATGCCATGGTAAAGGAATGTAAACTGCAAGAAACACAGTCTGAAGTATCCAAATACTCTCTAATAAGAGTTTTAGTTTGAAGACTAATGCAGTAGGCAAAATAATATGCATACAGTATACAAAGAACAGTATACACAGGGCCAGCAATGCTAACTATGAAATTTTTGCATCAGATTTACTTCAAAGATTTATAGCAATATGATAATTCTATACACTAGACCAAAATTAATTTATCATACATTGTTTCTATGACAAAAAGCTTGTCATTAAGGACAGTAGCAACTTACAATATACTTAAGCTGTATTAATCTCAGTAACACTTCTAAATCTATATTCCTACTACAGTAATTTTTTTCAGTATATTGTCTTATAAGATCTTAACAGACCTTTGAATAACACTTTACCAAAAGAGACCTGGATCCATTATAGCGATCTTATCTACATGCCCATTTGGCTTATTAAAACAAAAACAAACCAACCAAAACACAAGATACAAGGAAAAAATGCAGGTTTCAAATGCTCTATGATATCATTTGGTTTTGGTCTGAAATTAGTTTAGTTGGTAAAAAAAAAAACACCAAAAAAAACACAAAACAAACAAAAAAAACAACACCAAAAAGGCAGTTCATTAACTGGTATTTTATATAAAATCTGCAGAAAAATACAACAGCAACAAAAAATAAAAGTACTTCACAGATACCTAAAAAAACATTATATCAGAGATAAAGGTAAAGCAGCATCACTCTGACACTGTGCTTTAAAAATAAGATGAATGAAGAGACTGCTCTAGTGATATTAGAAAATTTGCTTTCTTCTTGAAGAAGAAGACTACTAACATTTTGCACAGCAACTATTTTTATAACCACCTCATTTAAAAACGTGTATTCATAGACACAGAGAATTGTCATATCATTACCATTTTTGCTCAAAGTGTCTGACTTTACACAGTGAAACTGATAATGCTAAGTGTCACCAGATGTCACTATATCATGAATATTAGAAGAGAAGCAAATGCCTTTAAACCAACACCATAAAAGAAACAACAGAAAGTGTTTTGTAAACAAAACAAACCACTTTGCAAAACAAGAGAGTTCAGAGATCTCACAGTGAAATCAGAAATCCTAATTATATATGTTTACATTCTAGGACTACTCTTTACCTTAGGCCAATTAAAGCACATTAAACCATTTAATTATATACAAACATTTTCTTAAAAAAAAATTAAACCATTGCACACACATCTGCTTTTTAACACCACATAACAAGGTTAGTTTTATTTTCAAAACAATTACATTTAAGGGCACAGAACATACAGAATACCAAATTAACAGATGAGTATTTTGCTTCACTGTACATGCTAAATCCAAAGATTTCCTCAAGAAAGCTAGAGCTTAGCAACTCCAACTTCTTCCATGCATCCTGTTCTCTGAAAGGGAGCATCTCCCAACACCTCCTTTATCTTAGGATTTAAAAAAATATATATATAAAAAAAATAAAGCTGTAAGTTTTAAAGTTGTAAGCATCTTCTGCTTTAAGTGCTCGCACAGAGATCCTTTGATGGCTCTCCCCACTACACTGTAACCTTGTGGGAAATCCTTTCCACTACTCAGTTACAGTACGCTCATGACTTGCATCAGAACTTTCATGCTGGACCTTCTGGGATTAGGGTGGAAAGGGGAACACAGAAGTGGAGAAGTAGAAAATACACAAGCGGTATACTGAAGGCCATTTTAATTTCTTACAATCTCTCACTGTTTCCTTTCAGGTTCTAGTAAAAGCTAAAAGGAAAAAAAAAAAACAAAAAAAACCAACCTAAACTTTGGCAGAGAATAGCATCAAATCAGTCCTTTAAAAAAAAAGTTAAATAAGAACAGCCTCCCAAAGCTTCTCAAGAAGCCTCTCTTTCAAATAAAAGGCTTCTAACAAATTTCTGGGAGAAAATTCAAATAACAGAAAAATAAGTTAAGGAAAGTAACAAAAAAAGGTGTCACTCCAAAATAAGTTTTTCAAGACATAATTCTAAGCTCAAGGCAATAAATAAACCAGCTGCTACAAGACAGAAGCATGTGTCCTCCTGGATCTAACCCTGCATGACTAGCCAGTCCCACCAAGGAGGCAGCCAGGCATTAGAATTCATGAAATTGATTGTCCATTATGGGAGACACTTTGTAGTTTTACTGGACCAAAAAGTTGGTCTTCATACCAAAACATTAACCTGGATTAACATCTCTTCCATGTAGATCATGATCAGAAGATGAGCAAAGGCATGTTTACGCTATAAAAAAAAAAATCCTCAAGCAACTTCTTAAGCTAAGGTCCATAACACAGGGCAAGGTACTTGCTTACCAAAAGACAGTTTGCTTGAAACCTTACATATATATATTTTCATATATATATGTTTTTTTTCTATTAAAGGCATTTTATTAAGTGGTTATACTCTGCAAAAAACATTAGCAAGTTCTATAACATCTAAGACATGAAAACAGCAAGACTGAAGAGGCTGGCATTAGGCAGAGAGTAGCATAGAAACATTTTTAAATGACTGAAAAAGCATTGGAGAAATAATTTGCTTAAAAGCTTCCTCACAATAATCGGTCTAAAGATGGGGGGGATGCAAAGTATTACTTTATTAAGATCCTGACTGACTGCCAATTGCCACTGTGATTAATGCAGCAACTTGTTACTTTAGCAAAAGTAAGAAGACATTAACTGGAAGATGGAGTATCTTGGATTCAACAGTCAAAGGTTGCACTGTAACATTTATGAAGGGGTGTTGACTCCCTACCACTGTCAAAGGATAACTTCACCATGGATCTGACTGCAGTTACACTGAACAGGATACTGGCATCCTGTATGTTAACTCTTTAAACAGTATTCTCTTTTAAAAAAGCAAATGACTTGAGGGGGCAGAGAGGAGGATAAACAAGCTGGGAAAAGCCATTATAAGCAAACCACTCCTCAGGTGGCTATAAAAGCCATGCCTTCAGCTTCATGACCATGTAAGGCACCCTGGGAAAAAAGCAAGCGCAGATGAAGCACCAGCAGCCAAGCATAAGGGTCCCTGAGCTAACCTGGCTTCACAGGTTAGGTGGCAATGCATTTGTTAGTACTGAGAGCAGAAAGGACTGGTCTAGAAAATCCAAGTACCAGCTGCTAAAAGAAAGACATGCCAAGTTACTAAGGGACAGTGCCTGCTACATGAGTCTCTTTTCCTGTGCCAAATTAGGCATATTAGCCAGATCCCAGCCTTCTCAAGAAGATATTGTTGGACTGAGACTTATCTTTACCCTCCACAAGTTATTTTTCGTCCCACTAAAATCAATTGCCCTAGGTTACTTTATCCAGCATAGGAAAAAAAAATAAAATAATAATCAACTGTGTTTTACAGCTTTCTAACAGTACTGTCCTTCCCGACTCAGCCTACTAATGAAGCAACTTGAGATGCCACTACCCATTTCACATACTTTACCATTACAAACAATTTAAAATACTTTTTCTGAATGAAGCCAGCCACACAAACCGTAAGACAATGTGTCTTGTCACACTGCTGTTAACACCAAGACAAGTATGGCAACTCTCCTCTTCTACATATATTGCAACTGCACTCCTACACTTATTCCAGTATTTCCAGTTAAGAACAGTCTGCTTTCCAGCAGCAACAACTGAAAGCTAAGAAAGGCAGGGCATCTTGGCCTCTGTTTAAAGTTTTGGAATGACCGGGATTCAGTTGATTTAAAAATAAACACCAAAACGAACAAACAAACAAACAAACACCCCCCCCCCCAAAAAAAATGCACCAAAGAAAACCCCCCCAAAAATGGAAGTTAGTAATTTTATCTGAAAATATGTATTATACATGATACTACTAAAAGCTATTTGGACAGCCTGCAGCTTACAGCACCACTGTACTGGAAAGCAAATTTTCTCCAGCAGACAAAGGCAGAATGCACCCGAATTCCATCACAACATAACCATTTCACCCACAGGGATTGGTTCTTTTGTATGTGCCAAGGAAACATTGCTGGAACCTTGAATCAATGCTGCTGAAGAATCAGCATGGTCCCTCATACCGTGTTTCTGGCCTAGCCAGGTCATGCTCTCACAAATCCCCAGACAACTTCTGGAGCAAAGACAACTAGAGGAATCATTTTCACAGGAAGCCTGAATATGACTATTCCGTCATGGAGGATAAGGGAGTTTACTACCACAAGTGCAGCCACACACTGTCAACTGGCCTCTGCACCCAAAAACAGGTCCTGACTTGGTTTAGTGTAAGGGCAAGAACACCACGGACAGCAACACATTCTCCTGCTTTACCAAGGAGAAGTGGACCTTGTGGTCTGCTAAGCTCCACCAACCTACTGCACACACATCCTCCACACCTGGAAACCATTCATCCCTGCCTTGGGCATCCAACCTTCAGAAGAAAAGAATCTCAGCATCTCTACACCTACTGATCACCTGTGATTGCCTGGGAAAAGTTTCACTTTTATCTGAAGAATCGTGTGCAGACCTCAATTGCTGACACAGATTACAATTGCACATGCTCCTTATCTCCTGACACAGAATCCCTCAGGAGTCATTCCTTCAGAAAAAAAAACAAAAGTCTGATAGGTAGAAAGAGGAAGTGGGAAAAGACATGAGGCAAAAGGACTCTGGAAAATAAGGACCACTTCCAGTACCTTCCCTCAGTTCCCCTGCCTCTTGTCTTCCCACTTGGTTTTCTTCCCTTAGACTCAGCGTGCAGCAATGGTAGGGATGCACAGTGTTGCCCTTCTAAAATGGCAGGGATGCAAAGTATTGTCCTGTTGAAAGGCAGCATATTGCCCTTCTACACATACACAGCAGAGAAGTTATTTTACAGTGTGCTTACCAAACTGAAGACATGCCAAGTCGCACAGTTCTTTTCCTCATGTGGTAGAACCTATGCAGAGATTTTTTTCTTCTAGAAAGAGGCTAACCCTAATTGTGTGCTAAAGGTTTGGACATTGAGGAGGCTGGATAAACGCTCTTGTATTTCAACATACTACAAAACCTAACCAAAGAGTATCTCTTTTTTTCCTTTCCCCCTTCTCCATTGCCCGTCTGTCGTCTCCAAGATTTTTGGTTTGGTTTTTCTTTTTTGTCTTTTTTTTTTAAATACAGCAACTTTTCAGTAATGGAATTTACAGTGGATACTCTTACAGAGGAAAAAAGACAGAAAGCTACTAACAGCTATCAAGGTTTAAGTGCTACAAGATGAGACAAAATATCTTTCTGTTGTTACTATGAGAGAAATGAGAAACTAAAAACATAAAAAACAAAACACAACTAACAAAACCTAGAAGCAGTGAACAAAATTAAAGAGTGCCAAGTTGGCCAAGGTAATTTAGCTATGTTACAAAGAACAACTACACCATGATGTGCATCACAGCCCTACATTTAAAAATCTTTCAACACAGCTTTAATCATTTAGATTTTATACATCAGCAAATGATATGTTATCTTAATGCTGACTGAGCTATGTAACTGCCTGACTTCAAACGCAGCCACCTTTGGTATGTTTATACACATGTACATGGAAAAGACAAAAGGTTAGTACTGCAAATAGGAAAAAAAAGGAAAAAGTCAAAAGGGGGAAAAGACGACACAACAGGCTCTGCTTTCAGCAGAGATAGGACAACATATCTCAAATGGTCTCTAAATAGGCTAAAATTGAGTTGATCTTACAATTATAGCGTAAACAATGCCTGGGTTGCAGTTGTGTTATTTGAAAAGAAAAAAATTAAAACAAAAAAATCTCTAGAGACCTTCTGTATGTTTAGCCATACCCTTAAAAGTTTACTATTCACTCACAAAGAGAAATAGACAAACATGAATATTCCAAGCGAACAGACACAGACCAGTCCAGTATTTAGTAATAGTTTAACTTTTGGAGTCTCTTCCAGCATTTGTAAACAAACAGTCTCTTCCTCCATCTCCCGAACAGCTCTCTTGTTCATGTTTTTACTTTTAAAGCCACAGAACCAATCTATGAATTTCAAATGTCTCTCTCTCTCATCAGTCTCTTCCTCATGCTTTTTCTCCCCCATCAAAGCTGCTTGTCCATTCGAATAACAATCAACTGGTGTCTCGACTTCAGAGTGACTCACAGAAATCACCGGGTTGCTGTCATCTCTGCAAGTAACCAGAAGATTGATATCCTCCGGCTTAATATTTTTAATATTTTCTTCCGATTTGCCGTTTGGAATTATATGGTTAGCGTTTTCATTGCACTTGAGGATGCTCTTTTCTTGCACTTTGTACAGCTCCCCCTTTGCAGCGCTCTCTTTCACATTCCTGTTTTTCACAGCCCAGAAAGTGGTTGTCCGAACCTGCTCCTTTGTAGGTGGAGGTGTGAGGAGGCTTACTACAAAGGTCACAATCCCAGTGATCCAGAACAGAGTTGTCGCAACATACATGTAATGGATGTTTTTGATAAAGCTTGGCCTAGTATCTGGCTGGTTACACTCAGGAGCACGATAGATAAATGCCAGTATCAACCGGATCGCTCCAAGAACAAACCCAGCCATTCCACCATAGAAAGCCCCCTGCTCATTGCAGCGTTTCCAAAAGATACCCATAAGAAACAGAGCAGCCACTGGTGGGGTCAAGTAGTCTGCTACCTCTTGGATATAAAGGTACATCTGACCACCTTGCATTTCTACAATTATCGGGACCCAGGCAATGCTTATAACTACCATGAACGCGACAAAGACTCTTCCTACAATCATCAGTTCTCTAGATGTTGCGCTCTTCCGAATGAGCTTGTAGACATCGAGTGTGAATATGGTGCTGGCACTGTTGAATATAGAGTCCAAGTCACTCATCAGTGCAGCAATCATCACAGCCATCATCAGTCCTCTCAGACCAACCGGCACAAGTTTCATCACCAAACGTGGGTAGGCAATGTTAGAGCATCCCGCTCTGCTCCCGCAGACTTGAAAACAGTGTTCCGGGTTAATGCAGGCAATATCATCTGCAAACAGTATTCGTGAAATCATTCCTGGGACAACTATAATAAACATCGGCAGCAACTTCAAGAAGCCTGCCATCAGAGTGGATCCTTTGGCATGAGCAATGTTTTTTGCAGCTAAAACTCTCTGAACTATGACTTGATCGGCACACCAGTACCAGACAGAAGCTGGAGTCTGTCCCAACAGAAATCCAGGCCAGGGAATATCTTCATCTGTTGGCTCACGCAACATTTTAAGAGCATCAGGCTTTGGGTCAACATTGCAGGAATTGGTATTGGAAATGTTGTAGGTTAACAAGATAGACGTAATATTTGGCGATGCTAACATGTACCTTCTTTTAACTTCTTCAAACCCACCAACCTCCATAATACTTATGATCATAAGTGTGAGGGCACCAATAATCATAAGCAGAGCTTGAAGCGTGTCTGTGTAGATGACAGCCACAAGACCTCCAGTCACAGTCAACAGCGCGGTCATTCCAATAAGGAGGATAACTGACAAATAGAGGTTCCACCCCAGCGATTCTTGAATAAAAAGTGCCCCTGAATACAAGTCAACTGAGAGTTTGGTGAAGATATAAAGAATTAGAGACAATGCTGCAAAATATATTTGAATTCTATGCCCTCCAAAACGCTTGGACAAGTATTCAGGCATGGTGTATACTCCCGACCGGATGTAGACTGGGACGAAGACCCATCCTAAAAGCTGCAAAAGCATTAAGGCGTTGAATTCCCATGCACCTACTGCAAATCCACTCGCCGCTCCGGATCCTGCGAGCCCAATGAAATGTTCGCTTCCAATATTGCTCACAAATAAAGATGCACCAATAGCTACCCAGGTCATAGAACGCCCTGCCAAAAAGTAGCCACTTACGGTGCTCCGATTGTATTTCCACATGGCAAAAAAACCTATGCACATTACAAGCACGAAGTACAGCACCACAATGGCAATGTCTGCTGTTTCCAAAGAAGCCCTCATTTTTGTAAACAAAATGCCTTCGCACAGCTGATGTCCACTTCTCGCCCCCCAGCAAATGTCTTTTAAGCAACACGTGAACCAGTTAACATATATCAACACTGTGGATCAAATTCTTTGTCCCTTGGTTTGCTGTCCTGATGCTGGTGGTTGTGGTACATTTACTTTCTCCGCTTCTCAAATGGAAATTTGGAACTTAGCACGCACTTTTAATCCACATTCCACAAGAGCATCAGCCTTAACTCAGTTGATGTAGGAGAAATTCTTAGTTGCAGCTAAGTTTAGTGAGGCCTACTGTACCAACCCTGCAAGGCAGCAAAGACAAAAGACAAAGATTGAATTAGAGAAGAATTTCATGAAGTAATGAGAAAAAATTTGAAGTCGAGTAAAACAATGACTGAACACCACAGATTTTTTCCCCCTTATATTTTCTGCTGTATTTATGCAATCCATAACAGACATAATTAAATAGTTGTAGAACTAAACAGCAATGCCTTTTGCTAGTCAACTTTAATGTTTACAAGTACTTTAAGGGACGCAGCAATTCTGGAGTATAAAATGACCCAAATTCCCCACAACGCAAGGAACAGAAATATATTTCATTTTTCTTTAGAGTCTCACAAGTCTACTTCTCAAGTCATTAAATAGCCCTTCCTCTTTCAAGCAATCTTAGCGAAATAAAAACCAAACAAAAAACAGCCACTAAGGAGCATTAACCTGGCTAGTCATTTTTTGTATTGCTCTAGCACTGCATCCCGCAAATCTGCATAGATCCTGGCATCACATGCATGCATTTGAGACACCAGCTGGCTGCTAGAGCTAAAAATCAAAGTGAAGTTGCAATACTGTCAAAAACACAATGTGTATTTAAGATCAGCTGAAAAAAAAAAATAAAAATTCTAGGTTATTCAGATGAGCTTGGACCTGTCTGGAGTACAGATGACTTACATTTTACTCTGAAAGCTCTTCATACAATATCCCATGTAATCTAGGTGAAGAAAAAGTCCCATTCAAACAAAGGGCAAAATCAAAACAATGCCTGACATCTGGCTTAAGGGTATTTGTCTGCTGTGAGCATTTTGATGTTCACGCCTGCATGGTTTCAGCATTTCTGGGGAGCACCCTACGCACATGGGAGAGAACCGGATAGATTTTGTAGCAGTCACAGTTGCTAGGATGCCAGGAAACAGTTCCCAGCATTAACTGTGTGTATCCAAGCACTAATCGGATCACTAACATCAGAGGTAGAGAGTTTCGAGGCAAAGCATACCCTGCCACTCCAGCCCTGAACCCTCAATCACACCCAATTCTACCAAAGCATGTCAGGAAACAGGCATTCACTTCAGCAAGTAGGTCTGAAGTGCTCAAAGGATGGAAGGGGATAATATGACTTGCTAGCAGACAACCAAACAGGTTGGAGAGGAAGAGGCACTGAAGAGCTGCACAGTAGGTCCTGCTTCTGCTATGAAGACAGGATAATCCTATCTCCTTCTACATGTTGGGAAGTATACTCTACCTATATACACCTGTCCTGGCTGTATACACCCAAACCTTTATGGGTTTAGAGAGTGCTGGACATAAGATCTTTCTGCTTCCTACACCAAATGTGCACAACAATGGGAAGACCAAAGCAAAGAACTCATTTAGTCTAAAAATCAGAACTCAAACCTTTAGTATTCAAGATTATTACAGAAGATTACAGAAGAGTAAGGAACAGGGTCTGACTCCATTCCTCTTTCCCACCCACTGGTAAAAGTAATATAGGCACAAAAAATAAATACAATAAAATCACTGCACTGAATCTTTTTTCTGACCATAAGGTCTGCCAGCCTTAGAAGTCTTACAAGCAACAGCTTCAGGCATCCCCCCTTCCACTTCAGTTGTAGAAGTGCTTTAGCACTATGTGGCAGCTCTCATTTCCTTATTAATTCATCTATGATTAACTAAAACAATCATGTAACATTCTAGTATTTGGGTGGGCTCTTGTTCAGCATCCCTGCAGCATATTCGTTATGTTAAAAAAAAAAATAGAGCAAATAAAAACATTACAAATTCTCAGAGAGACCACAATAAAAACTACAGTCAAGGCTGAAAATGCAGACATCCCCCCCCCACCTTACTTTGTGCATTACTAAAGGCAGCAACAGTGCTGATGCAAGAATGTGCACTTCTCATTAAGAAAAATGTATTTTTGAAACAGCTTACAGCAAACCACAACTTCAGCCTTGAGAAATTCACATTCATGGTATTCATATAAGCTGGCTATTTTCAAGAATAGTTCAGAATCAAAAAAGATAACAAGGGTTCCCCACCACCACCACAAACCCACATGAGAATAGATATTCATTCTGCAGAAGTTATAGCCAATAAAGAGAGACTACAGAGACATGGCACAGCACGGACTGATTACAGTAGTGTGCTAAATTTATCATGTTCATAAGCCTCAAACCACAGATGTATTTTAAATCCTTACACAGAAGGATTCACATTTACCCTCATCCACAAATGAAGTGGTAGTTAAATGGTCTATTAGTTTAATCCAATACAAAGTTATGAACACTTCAGATCATATGACATGATCAGATACAAGTATAATGTACTATTCTTCGTTTTGAGCACTTTTGAGTAACACTTTAATAGTTCTGCATCTTTTACTATATTCAGCAAAGTTTTCAAATGCAACTACACTGCAATGTTTATATTTAAACTATAAGTATTTTAAAGAAAGGGGAAGATACCTTCCTCAAACTGGAAAGAAGGAAAAGTACCACATAGAAAATCGGAATGGGCAAACTATGGAAATAGTAATAATTGGTATTTTCCCTCTTCTATTCCTTAAGATCATCTAGTTCCAACCCCCCTGCCGTGGGCAGGGACACCTAACGCTAAATCATATCACCCAAGGCCTCGTCCAACCTGGCCTTGAACACTGCCAGGGATGGAGCATTCAAAACCTCCCTGGGCAACCCATTCCAGTGCCTCACCACCCTAACAGGAAAGAATTTCTTCCTTATATCCAACCTAAACTTCCCCTGTTTAAGTTTTAACCCGTTACCCCTTGTCCTGTCACTACAGTCCCTAAAAAGAGTCCCACTCCAGCATCCCTATAGGCCCCCTTCAGATACGGGACCGTTACTGGAAAATGTTAGACTTGAACTTAAGTTCACTTTCCACTATCTCCCCTGTATGTTAACCAATGACCTTGCAAAAATATATTATACTGTAACATACATAAATTAAAAAAAATTTGTTAAAACTACATCTATTTGATACAAGAGGTACCAAGCCCATAGTAGAACTACTACAAGCATGTTATACCCCACCAAAAAGTGGGCAAGTATTAGATGCAGCTGCCCTTGAATAAATTGTGACATTTCTCAATTAGGATACTTTGCCAAACTACAATGGGCTCATTCTAACCCAGATAAACAATACATGAAGTTCTTGAGCATTTCCACCTCAAGGCACAGCCAGACCATGCATTTGAAATGATCAGCCTACAGGAACCCGAAACATCACCTTTGTAATCAACATCTGAATTTTGCAGGGTTCAGCTTGCTTGAGCAGGAAGGTGGAAAGTTTTCAGTAGCTGCTACAAATCTGCTGCACTGTCACTAAATTACTGTACTAAAGTAGCTTCTTGTACCAGTTTCTTATTAGACCTAATTCTAAAATAACCCTGGAACTTTTTTCATTACAAAAATGAGACTCGTCCCTCTGAACTTTCAGCAAGTTATGACCTCAAGTCTTAAGAAGGACTTTTGAGACGCCCCATGCGAGTTTAATCTCAAGTTATTAGAACAGCATTACATTGTGGCACTGACAGAAAACAAAAAAGACAGAAAGACTGCACTGCTGCCAAGGACTGATTTTTTTTTTTCCCCTAAGGCTGTTTTCTGGCTGGATCATATCAAAGACACAAAACAATGTGCTTCCCTCTTGTCTGAAGATAGAGGGCTACAGCTCTGGTGAAACAATGCATATGTCTCTCCAATGGGCAGCCTGTCCTATAATAAAAAAAAGTCTCAAGCAATTCCCTGAAGAGATATCAGATAATGCGAACCAGATTTAGGGTGGGATTTTTAGGAGAAATTTTTATGACTGTTTTAAAGGAAAACTTTCTCCACAGTGCTTTTCTAATAAAACAGGTCTTTAAGCATGCCAGAATCTAACTGCTCCAGCCCTAAAGCAACTATTTTTTTTCTGCTTAGTGTATTTCTCTTCTCAGCAGATGGGAAGTTTCTCAGTTGACTTTCCTCTTCTTTTGCAGTTAAAAAAAAAAAAAAAATCAGTCTCAATGGCAAACGTTTTAAGGGTTATTTTGAGGATGCAAATGCCCACATATCACACAGGAGCGTCCACTGCTACTATTTGTTAACAAATAAAATACATACTTAACTGTTTTCCTAGACTTCAAAGTAGTTTTGAGGTTCTTTCTTAGAAGCAACAGATTTCTTCTCCACCTCCTTCAAGCAGCGGTTATGTTAACTCATGCTGGTGGCATGTTACCTATTGGACAGCTCACTTGCATGGAAGAAATATACCCACATCGTCAGGCCCAACACCTACACAGAAAACAACAACAATCCAACAATCTCTCATGCCTTGAGCAGGCCTGTACAACACCCAACCCCCTGAGTGTGTTGGCTGGGCTGCTCCACAGCAGGCTACCTGCTACAGACACACAGGTGAGTTCCTACCTGCTCCACAGCAAACACAAGGCATTCTGAGGTAGCCTATCTCAGAGAAAAAAAAAAGGAAAAAAATAAAAAGAGGAAAAGGCTTCATTCCATTTACTGCAGCACTCTAGAATACAAAAAAGGAGCACAAACGTCCTTCATGGAATAACCGATACAAATAACTGAACTGATAACAATAACTGAATAACTGATACTTGTCCTTATGTAATACACGCCCTTGAGAAAGCAGAGGCCATCCTTGCAGCTGCTGAATACGGCACTAAACATCCAGGACCACAGTTTCAAGACTTCCCCTTGTAAACCAGAAGCTAAGGAATAAAGCTGGGCAGGAATCCCACCTGAGACAAACAGCATATGTCACAGGAAGCAGGAAAGCTCAGAGGCACAAGTTGACCTGTAGCATCTAATAAATAACTTCAGTTAAGGGTCTGGACTGGCGTTTCCAGGAGCTCAACAGGCTGAAGTAGAAAAGTACCATATTTACAAGTTACCCAAACCAGCAATGACCTGACTAACCTGTTTGCCACATGTGCTCTGCTGCATCAACACTTCTGCTGGCCTTCGAGAACACAGGTACCCCAGAGGCAACTCTATAGATCATCACTAGCATAAAAGTTCAATCTGAGGTGCAAGGTTCAAGTCAGTCACTCAAAGGAGTTATGAACACACAGTGCACTTTTTTGTCTGAGGTATCAGGAATCACTCCAGTCCTGGTCTTCATTTAACTGCAGCATCAGAAAAAGAAGCTTGCTCCTCAACACATTCTTCTCGATCCTTTTCTAAAGGACTGCTGAAGGAGACATGAGACAAATAAGTAATCTCACAGCATGCAGTTCAGCAGAAGAAATAGAACACTGCATTTGCCAGTCAAAAATGTAATGCTACTATTACAGAAGCAGTTACTGGAGCTCTGTAAGGCCAACTGAAGCTGAAGAGCACTGTGACTGTCAGTTTTAGAGCAGCAGATCAATGTAGTTGGTTTTGTTTTTAACCATTCTTCCCCCCATCCCAAGTGTACATACCCATTTAGGTCTCCCACCAAGTCATAAATTAAAGAGAGGGGAAAAAAAAGGCAGAAAGAGGATGCAGCTTTATGGCAGTGCTCATTCAGCACTCTGTAAACACAACAGAAACTACAGTACTGTTGAACTGCAAAGCAAGAGGAAGATTGCTTATTTCATCCATTAACATCACTAGCAGCATCTCAGCAAGCCACTTCTTGCCACTGCCTGTGGCATGCACATTTGAACGGTTTCTTTTGCCGTGAGTCAGTCCCCAGCACTGTCAGGAATAATGGATTTATTTGCTTCCACTGTTCTTCCAAAAAACTCCAAACAACTAAAGGGAAAAGGGGGGACTTAAGCTGGGGACAGAAGAAAGTAGATAGTTCCTTCTTATTTGTTTAAATAAACAGACACCAGAAAGACTATCTTCTCCATGCCTACCAAGATATACTGTAGTTACCTTACTTGGGTCTTAAGAAAGACTAGTCCATCAGGTTAAGATAAACTGACTATCAGTTTAAAGAAAACACATAGGTAATTTTCTTCCCCTCGTCAGCCCAAAGAATCAGCTTGTTCACATGGGTGCCAGATGTTATCTGGGTTCTCTGAAGAAAGCAGAAAGTACAGCCACCACTCAGCACGGCTGAAGAACTGGGCTGCTCTTCCCTGGCAGGTAAACAGAATCATTCATGCCTCTGCCATAACTCAAGTAGATCACCACCAGAGGCTCAGATGCTCAAAGACGGGTTGCCACTGCAAGCAGCTCCATCCTTCAGCACAGGAACCATGCTTTTCTTTGCAACTGCAGATGACATTCTTCCTTCTACACAGGAACTGGAAGCAGAACAGGAGAGGGTACTGAGAAGGCACATGGTCAACAGTAACCAAGAGCACAACAGAGCAAACAGGGAAAGCAAGCCATTTAACAGAGGTGGGAAGAGGCGTCTCCTTCAGGAGATGGCAGTCAGGCAGAATTTCCCTGCCGGGTAAGTGTGCCAAGACATCAGCTTGCAAACTAAGCTGGATCCTGCAGAGGGACACTGAGCTGAAAGACTGAAATTCCTTCTTGTGGCAACCTAAAGTTCAGAAGCACGATCACTTCACTGCCACTGGCAAGTACTATTTACCTAAATTAATTCAATGAATTACTTAGTCACTAAGAGCAACAGCAAGAGAATGGGTAAATCAAGCATAAACATGCAAGCATTTCATTTCTGTAGAGGATTTGGGACCATATAATCAAGCGTTCCAAACATCAAGAACCAACATTACCACCCTGTTAGAAGCACACCATCAGAAAGTGTTGCAAAAACTCCACCACTACTGAAGATGAAGGTTTTCTTTAGCTGCAAGGTACAAAGATGTGATCCAGTTGGCGAGACCCTCCAAGATGACTAGTCTGCTGGGTGCTCCTGCACCTTCCTGATGATTTTAAGATATCAAAACAAGATCTTTGCTATAAAACAAGTGGTGCTATCCTACAAGCTTTGTAATTACCTATATTAAAAGCTAGCAAACATTGATTCTAATAGTCTCAAACACATCAACTCCACTGAACACATTCCCTTCCTGTATCCATGCTCTGCATGTACCTTTGTTTTTAATTATTATTCCATAGGTATTTGCATAACTGAAGCACAAGGGCTGGCTTGCAAGTGGGCAAACCAGGATTAAACAAAAACAGAACCAAAAAAAAAGCAGGCTAGTTTCTATGTAGTTCCCCACAATTGTATTTCTAGGATTGATAACCTTCCTTTACACTATCTGCTTCTTTCCTTCCCATCTCTCAAAAGCAGTGACGCATTTTCTTTCATTTCCAGCACCAGTATTTGCACTAATGCTCCCATATTACAGGTCCTTGTCTCGTACAGATCTTGCCTTACTTCCCATATTTTTACTTCCCATCTTCCCTGTTCCACTCCTCTATAATTAGTCATGTTTTGCAGATTTGTCCTGCCTTGTACTTTTTCCCCTTTCACCTTCTTATCAGCTCTTACACAGAATGCTGTACCAGAATGCTATACTAGTGATATTCCTCCTGATCCACTGGGCAGCCCAGTGACTCCTGCTGCCCTCGGATAAGCAGCACAGAGGCTAGTATATGCAGCTCTATCAACCAGCTGCTTCCACATAAGCAACAATTGCCAAAACTTGTAACAGAAGAGGCCTGGGCAGCTGTGCATCAAAGAATAATCTTGCTTTTTATCAGAGCAGGCTACTAAGTTACTAGATCAATAATCACCCACAACCAAAGTAATTCTGGGGTGGAAACTGCCAGCATTATGGCTCTGGAACAAGAGCATTGGAGAAATCAGCTCCTGAAAGAATACATAAAGAAAGCAAGAACCTTCATCATTACCAAACATGTATGATGCATTGGAAGAAACTAAACATACACATACATTCATATTTGAATTTAACAGCTGATTCTAAGCAATATGATTGATATCTTCAAAAAGTAGTCGCTTTTGAGGTTTTTTACAATAATGGAGAGCAATAATGCTATTTTATCACAAGTTCTCCTTCCACACACACACACACACCCCCCCCCCCCCCCCCCCCAACAGGTGAAGGACAGAATATGCTCGCATGCCAAAGATTTATATTATATCTCCCTGTTCACATACATGGTACATCCACATGTATACATATACACAGTGAACAAATTATGAGAGATACACAGCCAAGAGAGAAGAGCATGTTGTTAATTAGGCAACAGGAGCAAGAAGTCTTATCTGAAAGGTTAAGCTGCCATTTCCTTCCACAGAAGAGGGGCTAGCCAAATCCCACCCAAGTCTGCCAGCCCCATCATGGACACAAGGGCCTGCCCCTAGCCCTGCCTCAGCACTCAGGCTTGCAGCTCTATAACATAAGGAGCAAGAGTGGCAAAATTAATCAGGGCATCCCATTACCTACGCTTACTGAAGCACGCCACTCAATGCACTGCAGAAGCCAGTGTAAACCAAGAGGCTTTCCAGTCCGTTATTCTTACCATCAGCTTAGTACTCACTTTGGACACCTTTGCCAAATTCACCTCACTGTCAACTACCTGCTTAAGGGCTTAAGCTATCTTTCAGAAGAGAATAAACCTCTATCTCCCCCAAAACCAAAGCCAGGCACACATCCCACAGTTAGCAAAAACTTAGGAAAGGACCACTCTCAAGTCTTAAGATTAAAAAAAGGCAGACATCAACCAAGAGGGTATCATTCTGAAATGCTGTCTGCATAACACACTTAAAAATCCAGTTGTTCTTATGGAAATGCTTAAGGCAGAAAAAAAGCTGAATCCTACAAGCAGAGTCAATACTAGATCTTGCTGTCTTCCAGTCTCGTCTTCTACAGTTCCAACTCTTTGGTCTTCTTCTCAGCACCAGCCCAAACACAAGGGTCCCTCCCTGCTAGGCATACTATTGTGAAGAGCAGCCTGTTTCAGCCAACTAAAAAAGTCAAAGGAAACAGCGGAAAACTTCTGTGTAACTTTAACCTGCTTAGTAAAGGAGAGAGGCAGGGAATATGTACAATTCAACTGCAGGAACAGGTACGTTCACCAAAAAATAAAACCAGTATCTGCCTGCTCACTGCCTTCTCATTCTGCCCCACTTCTTCCTAGCAACTACAATATCAAAAGCCCAATTGCTACAGCTGCCTACACAGCAATTAAGTGCAATATTCAAGATGTCAAGCAACACTACTGCCCAGTACTTTAGCTTTCCTAAAATAGCTAACGATTTCCACAGCAGGTAGGGAATTTTTGAAACATGGCAATCCACTCCAAAGGCAACAAACAGATGCTGAAGACATGTTATGTTGTGTGAACATGCCAGTCAAACTGAGAGCCCAGATGCACTGAGGTGGGTGGATGGGTCCACTAGTCTAGTATTTACTGAAACAAGGTTATCAGGTTTTAGACTATGACACAGTACTATGTATTTGTCATCTGTTACAGGTGAAGTGGGGGAGAAGAGTATGTCACTAATAAAATATTGATACGCTTCATTTTTAGCAAATTACTCGAATATAAAGTGTTTTCAAACTGTCCATTCACTTCAGTTCTAGTTACAAAGTTGTTCTGTTGAAGACGGGTGTCCCCGCTAGCAAGAGTCGAGCAGCACCAAGAGCAGCACGGAAATACCGCCACCTTCTCTTTCTGTCCTAGGTTCCCCAGGATGCCAAATTTTCTTGGAGGGTATCTCGCATTGCCGCCCTGTGGTCAGTCTGTAAAACAGCATCAGAGCAATAGGAAGCCATTTCCAGCTCTTCCTTCCCTTCCCTCCCCCCCCTCCACACACTTCCTTCCCCCGGGCTCTCGAAAGCGTTTTGGCAGAACGAGAAGGGCAGGAAGAGGAAGCCTCTCTGAAAAGCTCTCTCCAGGCAGCCACAACTCCTGCTAATGCATTAGCGGGTCACTACCCTTTCCTGCTGAAGGTCCTGCCCTGCCACAGTCCCCCAGCTGAAAGCCAAAGATGACTCTCCTGGGAGAAAGACAGAAATAATTAGAAGTTCATCTTTTGCTATGAATAGTTAAGTCTAGAACATGAACAGCTGCATCTTCATTTTGCACCTCTACCTTCACCACAACTGTGGTCTTTCACTCGGGCTCCAGAGGGTAGGCAACATGTTGTTCACATATGTCTGCACAAAACTGATAGCAAGTCTGCCATTAAACTCCCCAAGCTCACCCTACTATTTGTCATTTGCATGTTGGAGTTAAGAAAGCCACACACGTGGGCAAAATTCATTATTTCCACTCTAAGTTCCTGTCACTTCACTGGCCTCATACCTTTATTTTCTCAGAGCATTTCCTCCATATACTCACACATGGAGGAACACACTCCAAGCCCTCACTGCGACTACTCTTTGAATACAGTGATACCACAGAGAAGTATGGGGTTTTATTTATTCTGCAGTGCTTTCTTATTTTTACATTTTTTTCTTACTGTCTTCCTAAGAGTCACTGACTGGGGTCTCTGCTGATCAAGGACCCTGTCCACAGGCAATTTACAAATACAGTATTTCTAGTGCAAATCAGTTACCTGCTCATACACTACCTACACAACAGGACAGAGAGTGCGCAGTTCTGACTTCAGAACAAAGTCACAAGCTCTTGTGACAACTACATGCAGACAACTGATGACAAAGTTGGAAAGTAAAAGTTTCTCCCTTTGCTGCTTTTCCCTACCCCCAAGCCTTTGGGTCTTGCATTTTTAAGACACAAAAGGAAAGCTGAAGAGTCTGCCAAGCAGACACTATAGCATCAGGCAGGACCAAGGGGTCATGCTTGCCCTGTGCCCATGCTGACGCTAGCTGTATAGGGAGATCAGCTGCACAGCAAGCTCCACAGCTCACAACAGAAACCACATGCAGGAACAGAATGAGGAGGAATCCCCAACTTGAACACAAGCAGTGCTAAGGAACAGAGTTTATTAAAAAAAAAAAAAATTTGAGGGATTTATTCTGCCTAGATCTATTAAAATGCCAAGGTAACTATTAAAAACAATTGTGGGTAAGGGAAACCCCACAGAATCACAAAGTTTGCCTCTGAAGAGAGCCGTGAAAGTCTACCAGACTGTAACTATGAGAAGGTTTGCACTCAAGCTGCCAGGGAGCTCACAGGAATTAGTGACAGCCCTGAAGGGCAATGAAGCTGAGCAGCAGCAGTTTACTTTTTTCTTCTCCCTGCAAAGCAGGGGAACTATCAGAGATGAGGAAGGATGCCACAGACACCAACAGACGAGTCAGCGCTTGCTCAAGCCTCAGACTAAAGCAGGCACTGCAGCACACAGCCACCGCACAGAGGGACTGACACAGCCGGACAGTGAACACCTTGCCCGCGGTAGCTTCATTGAGAAACACTGGTGTCAAGAAGCAATACAATTTATTCAGGCCTGTACGTGATCTCCCCAACTTGTAAAGGAAGGAGTTATTTAGTCACTCCATAATTTCAGACTGGTTTATCAGCCACATATTCAGGTCTCCCATGTTTTGGCTAACTGAAGTTAGCATTTCAGTTGAGATTATGCACTGCTAAGGGGGTCATTAAAGTAACCCCATTCCCAGGATTCAGCAGCACCATGAAGCATATAAGCACTACAGGATTTTTTTTCCAAGTGTTCTCATTATACAAGAGCAGCAGCACTAGCAAGATACTGGAACACACACAAAAAAAAAAAGCACCTAGATCTGGTGTACTGTCAACAGCAACAACAACAAAAAAAAAAGCATCTAGAATACAACAGGTGTAGGTTAAAAACAGCAGTACACCTGAACCAAAACTTAAGCAGTTTAACATAACCATGGAGCTAAAAGAACACCTTAAAATACATCTATCAGGAAAGACTATACTAGAGTTAAACTTCAGAGGAGAACATTGCAGATGTTAAAACCTGACTGTATCCATGCTTATTAGAAGCATCTTGCAGCTAAAAGCTTAACCCTGAATGATCCTTTGCACCAGAAAGCACTCCCTGACATCCTTTCCGAGTAGTCAGTTCATTCGTATCTTGGCATTATGTCATATTTGCTACACTTTCTACCCTGCTCCGCATTTATAGAGTCTGCATGGCATAATACATCTCCCACACTAACAGCATGTTCACAAAAAGCATCTCAACGCCTTACCTATGGCTCATACACTGATGGCTAGGGGTGTGGGGAAAAAGAAAAAATAATTACATGTTGACAACCCGAGTTCAAATGCATCATGTTTTGTCAGAGCAAATGCTGCTCTGCGAGGTGGTGCAGCAATGTCACCAGATTTTTTTCTCCCTGTTGCTGTATTTCTCCACTAGAGGACTCACCTGAGAAGTCTACTACAAGCTTCTGCAGTTAAACCAAGTTAAAAAAAAAAACCAATCCCGACATGTGGATGGTACATGTAAAATGAATGGAAATGTACTAGTAGATGTAGCACATATAACACATGAAGACATGCTCCTATAACTACAAAAGAAATACGGCAAAGTTATTTAGCTTCCTGCTATTTTACAACAGATACACATGTTCATTTAAATGAAGATTAAATGCAAGAGCAAGCATGTCTGCACTGTGTCAGATGTGTCAGATCGGAAGGCTACAGCCTAGCAGAAGTGCTGCTACATTCCAACACCAGCACTGCATATTAAGCTGGAAAGTAGCAGATAAAAGGTAGAGAAGGTGGCAAAGAAGGGCTGGTATCAGCTATTATTTTCCAAATAAAGGGTCCCCTCTACACAGAGGTGCTTCTATTTTATTATTTCTATACACAAGTGCACACACCCCCTGCACAGATTCAGCTCTCGTAAAAGAGCATCACATAACCTCACTCACACCACGGTTTATCATTATGCCACCAAAGACAGCGGCAACGGCTAGCAACCCTTGCCGTGGATGGTACGGGGAGCCATATCAGCAGAGCTCAACTGGTGCTAGCAACGGCAGGGAAGTAAAAATAAGGAATAATTAATTCTCGAGACTCCTCTGGTACGGAGAGGCTGGAGCTGGCCTCCCGTGAGAGGAAGCTTGCCAGAGCAAGCCCTCGCTCTGCCCCACGGAGGCTCCCCGCAAGGCCTCGCAGAGGAGAGGGGACCTAGCATGGGGCTGCTGCGACCTAGCGAGGTGCCCAGCAAAGCCATAGCAGGTGCTGGGGGAGGGGGGGGAGATGAGGCACTGGCACACGGCAATGGGAAGCGCTGGTGCTGCAGGAGGAGAGGGGGACTTGCCTGCACCAACGCACAGGGACAACGAAAGGGCTAAATTGACCTGCACCAGGCAAGGGGCAGGGAGGGAAGGGCGGGATAAGAGAGGGAGAAACGCATCGATTTCGCACAGCGGGGGATCTGCTTACCTGCGGACCAAACGGGAAGGGGGGAAAGAAGGTGACTGCGGCTCGAGGGCAGCTACTAAGCAAACTCTCCAAGGGAGTAGGGAGGAAAAAGAGAAAGGGGAGAGAAGGCAAAGAAAGACACATGGGGATCCAAGGCGCCTTGTGCGGCCCCGCTGCATGGCGCGGAGGGAGAGGCCAGGGAGGGCAGCGCTCGCCCCCGGGAAGGGACCGGCCACGCAGTCCCGTGCTCCACCGGGCAGCACGCGGTGGCGAGAAAAGACACCGAGGGGTCGCCGGGGGCAGGGAGAAAGCGTCTGCCGGGTCCCACCTGGCACCCTCCCCCCCCCCGTCTCCCCTCCCTCACTCACCCTCTGCATGACTTTCACGATCAAAGCCAGTTCATAGCGGGGCATCTTAGAGCTGGCTGTGGCGGAAGGAGCGGGGATGCGGCGGGTCAGAGAGTGGGGAAGAGGGGGCAGCGATGCAGAGAAGAGGGAAACCGGAGGAGGGAGGCGCGGTACGGGTAACGGCTCCTGCCCGCGCGGCTCCCAAGCTGCACAGACACCCAGGCGGGCGAGCGGGCGGCGCGGCTTAAAGGGCGCCGGCAGCTGCGCAGGCTCCGCCGCACCGCCCCCTCTCCGCGCCAAGCGCCGCCTCCGCCGTGCACACGCCCGCCCGCTGTGGGGCTGCCACCGCCCGGGTCCGGGGAGAAGGGGGGGCCGGCCGGTAGGGAGGAAGGGAAAGGGAAAGGGACGCCAGCCGCCGGGGAGCGGGCCTGAGCCGGGCGGGCCGCGCCGCGCCGCAGGCACCGCCTCCCCCCCCACGCGGCGGCTCAGGGCCTGCGCCCGCCTTCCCGCCGCCGCGGCGGTGGCTGTGGCTGCTGCAGGGAGTGGAAATTTCCACTGTGTCCGCCCCCTCGCTCCCCCCTCCGCGCACACACACACACCCGAGACCGCACATGCTGCGGGGGGAGGACAGCGCAGGGGGCCCTGCGCCTCGCTGCCAGCCGCGGGCGGACGCGGCCCTGCAGCCATCGTCCCCCGGCACCTGGGTGGGCTGGCAGCGGCCGCGGGCTGCACGGCGAGGCAGAAGCTGCCCTGTGGTGGAGGGCGAGGTGAGGGTGCCGTGGAAGGCTGGGGCTACATGTGTGGGGCACCCTCAGCTTTTCCAGAACCTTCTATGGCCCGGTGCCTTGGTTGTCCCTGACAAGCGAAGGTGGAGGTGGTCCACCTGAAGTGGGCTGGGTGTTGGGACTCGGAGGAGGGCTGGTGGGGCGGAGGTGGAACTGCATAGCTGACCTTAGCGCCTGTGTGCTCCCGGAGGGAGTGAGGGACCTTCTGGGCAAATGTTTCCCAGCTGGCAGTGGTGGGTGGGCACCCTTGGCATTGTACTCCCATGCAGCGATCAAGGTCAGGCACACAGATGCCCTCTATCAGCAGCACATCTGACACCAGCGTCCAGCTGTGGCTGTGCCAGAAGCCTGCATCCATTAAAGAGGGGCACTTGGAGAGCCTGGTGGTACATCAGGCTTGTTTCAACAGTATTTCTTTCTTCCACAGAAGAGATTCATTCCTCTGGGGGTAGCCCCTTCCCTCACACCTCAGCATGCCCGATACACTGGGTGGCTTGAGCAGGGCAAGCTTATGCCAAGTTTCTGCCTGAGGTTTTGAAGTCCACATCACGGCTGCTCTCAGAGAAAGAGCGAGGCAGGGGATGGACAAGCAAAGCCACCGTGGCTGAAGAGGAAAGGGAAGCAGAGAAGTCAGAACTCGATTTTAAAAAACTGAAGTAAAATATCTATCTATGAAATCCCAGCCCTGCCCCATTGAGAGAGGCCTCAGTACCTGACCTGGGACCCCCAGCTATGCCCTTCTACACCAACAAGCAGCATGGCTTGGGTTTGCTCTGCTTGCCGATGAGTAGTACCATAGTTGGTGAAATGAATCCAAGGTATTGCTAACTGAAAACGTTTACCAGCACTTTCCATCGTGGTTTGCAGCACAACCAGCACTGGTACTGCTGTGGGCCTTCCTCATCTTAAGCAGATGCAAGTTGTAGGGAGTTCCCTACAGGTACCCTGCCCTACAGGCACAACAAAGCCTGCTTGGGTGCTAGGAATTGTTTTGTGTCCTGCTAGCAGTTCAGGATGCATTCCCTGTGCAGGAGTATTTACATATATTCCCAAACTCCCACACCTCAAGCAAGGCTCAGGCAGTAATTGCCAGTCAGCTGACAGGTATAATTTGCTGCCTGTTGGTGCTTACCACATACAAGCTCTCCCTGGGTTACTTTGCTTGCCTTTTTTTTCCCCAGCACAGTCTTGTCTGGCCTGAGTTTCATCCATGTTCTAATAGATGCCTGGTGAGTTCCAGAGGTAATCCAGGCACTTTGTAAGTGATGGTCCCCAATGAAGGTGAGAATGGCCAGGTACCCTGCCATACACAAACAACTGGACAGCCATTCCCACATTCTCAGTGCACCCTGCCAGTGATGGCACAGTCACACATGAGCCATGCTGTTCTCTTCCCACATGAAAGCCTTACACCCTGCCGTGCTACCAACGGTCTACCTGCTTAAAACACTCCTTTGCCAGAAAAAAAGGAAAAGGATTCAATCCCTGTTGCTGAAGTCTTTCTCAGACACAGAACTTTATGCAAATCCCCAAGTCTATATACTGAAATATCTAGTGACACTTTCAAATGCCAATATTTGATTCTCAGTTGGTTATACATTTATATTCACCATTCAAGCTTACTTCTACGTTCCACATGCAAGCCCTACAAATATACATCTGTGCCTGGGATTTGCTCACACATGCAAAAACACTTGTGCATCAGATCTAATAAACATGCTCCCAGACAGGCATTCCTATATATACTCACTGAGTGAGATCTGTGTGCCTGAGGGTCTCTTCTCCTACGAATACAGGCTGAGAGAGTTGGGCTTGTTCAGTCTGGAGACAAGAAGACTGGGGACACCTTACAACAGTCTTCCAGTACCTAAAAATGGCCTACAGGAAATCTGGAGAGGGACTTTTTACAAGGGTGTGCAGTGACAAGACAAGAGAGGATGGACTTAAGCTGAAGAGGGTAGATTTAGATTAGGTAGAAGGAAGAAATTCCTTACTGTGAGGGTGGTGGGACACTGGAACAGGTTGCCCAGAGAAAGTGTGGTTGTCCCATCCCTGGAAGTGTTCAAGGCCAGGCTGGATGAGGCCTTTAGCAACTTGGTCTAGTGGAAGTTTAGATTGCATATAAAGAAGAAGTTCTTTTCTTGTAAGGGTGGTGAGATACTGGAATGGGTTGCCCAAGGAAGTTGTGAATGCTCCATCCCTGGCAGTGTTCAAGGTCAGGTTGGACAGAGCCTTGGGTGACATAGTTTAGTGTGAGGTGTCCCTGCCCATGGCAGGGGGGTTGAAACTAGATAATCTTAAGGTCCTTACCAACCCTAACTACTCTATAATTCTATGATTCTATGAAGGTACCCTTGCCCACAGAATCATAGAATCAACTAGGTTGGAAAAGACCTTTAAAATCATCAAGTCAGACTTCCACCCCAGGACTGCCAAGTCCACCATTCATGGCAGGGGGGTTGGAACTATATGATCTTCAAGATCCCTTCCAACCCAAACCATTCTGTGATGATTTGAAATACAGTGACTGTCTGAATGCTGCACATTTACAGCCATCAGTTCTCATGCATCATGCCTCTGTATAGCTATGAACACTCATGGACTGACTACCACATATGCCTCCGATGCCCCGTATCTTTATGGGAGTGCCTAATGCTTTCTGACCTTCTTACTACTGGTCCACCAGGTCTGAGCTACTAGTAATTTCACAAGTTTGTTTATTCTTCTAAGTGTTAACCACAAGTATCCAAAGACCATAAGAAACTCACATTTAATATTTAAAACTTCACAGTTATGGAGGAAGATCTGAAAAACACATAGTGGCCATGCCCTAAATACTCAGTAAGGAAATATAAACTCCCCTAATACAGGCAGGTTGGCTCTCAAAACTTTTGACTTTTGAGAGGCTTGAGTCATGACTTTTTTATACTTGAGATTGGTTGTGCTACAAAGGCAAACCATCTTCTCTTCATCTTGGTATCTTTCACATCCATCCCTATGCAGCACAGAGGGCACTAATGAATAACCTCACTCTTTCTAATAAAGCGTAAGATAAAAATATGTCCTCATGCAATCCATGTACATATGTAAATACAGAACCTGTTCTGTGAAAAAGCTATTGGAAATGTTTTAGGCAATTAAAAAATGGCATGGGATATCTCACAGATGTCTGACAAAGAAGCTAGCCCAGCATGGCAGGATTAAGAGGGGAAATGAAAGAAAAAACACTGCACTTTTAAAACCTCAACATTACCATTAATAGCCTCTCTAAGCAGAACTATGTTGTGCTCCAGTGATCTTTTTTATGTGGAATATACCTAGTTTTGCAACATACACTTTGTGCACCATGGAAAAGCCAGTTCTCTCCTCTTAAAAGCTTTAATTTCTAGCTGTGATATGTTGCACAATATCAAAGTAAAGTCAGAATTTATACAGGTTTAGGACTATCATGTTTACTGTCTTGAATTTCAGATTGGGACAGATTTTCAGAGGAGTTAGTAAAAAAACAGGAATTGCCTGTGGAAAGAAAAATTACTCTGCCAAGTGTGGTTTTCTTTGCTTGTACTGGTGTTTGTCTATGGACTATAGATAGGGATACAAATACAGATACATGCCTAGTCTCCCCAGTATTTACTCACCTCCTCACTAAGGTTTGAAGATGAGCACTATACATTTGAGATAACAGCAGATGAACTAAGGAGTACAAAGCCTGCATGGAAATAGCTGCATGGCTCTGCAGTCACTGCAATGATTGTGGTCCTGACATACTCCAGAGAGGTGACAGGTGGAGCTGAGTCAGAACAATGAAATATCTGGAGTCATCTGGTCCCAAGGGAGCAGATGAGCGAGCAAAGCTGCAGTGAAGGAGGTAGTATTAAAAGGTGGGGCTGTTGTAAGCTTGTACACAGGGCTCCTGAAGTTTCTGGTTTGGAATGTGGCTCTTAGACACATGAGCAAGGTTGCTCCTGGAGGCAGGACTGAAAGGAAACAGAGCTGAGAAATGAAGGAAAAGTGGGATTGTCAGGGTAAAGTGTGGGCCAGAGGGACCGCAGCAGGGACAAGAGGGAACAACCGGAGGTGTCTGTAATGTGGGCCTAGGATTTAATGAGAGGATATAGAAGAGAGGGTAAGGAGAAAGGGAGAAGTAAGATTGGATGGAAGAAGACTTGGATGGAGAAAGACTTGGCAGTCTCAGAGAAGACTGGGACAGGGAAAACAGGGTAGTAGGAAGCTGAATGGGCTGTGCTAGAAGAGGACAGGAAGAATCATGGTTTTCATACCTTCTAATAAAACCACAGATCTCTAGATTCCCCAACCCCACTCACCCCCCCACTACGAGCCCTCCTCTGTCAGCGAATACCCATGAATCCCCCAGCAAAGTCCATTTGTCTAATATTCCTGCTGGCCACCCATGGATGACAACTCACTGCTCTTATCAGTCTCTCTGTTAGCTCAGAGTGGCAGAGAGCTCTGTGGTAAAGCTAAAGGGTTCAGCTCTAATGACATTTACAACAATATGATGCTGCATGATGGAAGGGGGTTTGATTATTTTTTTTTAC